AGCGAGTAATCAGACCGAGATAAGATTAACGTTAAAGGAGATCCACGGAGCTTACAGTCAGTGTGATCAACTTTGAACACAAGTTTTATGTAGGTGGCCTTTTTCCGAACGTTTTCGGTTAGGTTACCTTTTGGTAATCACACCACCCGACTTTATGCGCGCAAACGTTTTTGATACAATCAATTTGCTTATCGTGGATTTGACGTTCTACTTCTATATTCGGTAATCTTTGTATGCTTATACACGTTCATTCACCATAGGTGAACAACCCCGTGTGTTATGCATATATATGTTTGTTTAAATCAGCGATTGAAGAGATTAAACGAAATGTTAGCACATCTCGCGACATTTCTGTTCGTCCTGTATTGGTGAAATGGATAAAGGGGATTCAGTGTTTCGAATGTGTTATTGACGAGACAAATGGCAGACGACTCACACATACTCCTTCTGTACGCTTGAAACAATTCAACCCGTTAGTACGTGGATCGTCATTCCAAATTCCATGACTAACTACACAATATGAGCGATACTTTTGCTGAAATTCACACTCCAACTACCCGTACATGATTTACTGTGGCGAGGAGACAGATGGGCTACTGACGGGTTGTACTCAGTAGTATAATTTCATCATGATGCCGTGCTGGTTTGATGACAAAAGTGAACGGAATTTCCTATCGGACTATTCGCATCTGAACTGATTCGGCACAAGAACCGCAATTGGAAGAGAGATTTTTACGAATAAGATGATCATGTTGGCATGACTCAAGAAAACAGGGACCAGCTGACTTAGAGCCCTTAGACGGGTGGTGGCACAGTGAATTAGTCGCTCTCACCGACGTACTTTGAACCCCGACGGTTCGAGCCCCGCCACCACCACGTAACTTCGGTGATAGCCAGCTGTTCTGTCGGCCGGTTCAATATCACCTAACCTAGTGCCAGAGCCTTATCTGGGTCGAATCGCTCCAAATCCCGCGGGGTCTAGGTTATCGATTTCCATCACTGAACAGCGGATCCTCGTGACTATAGGGCTTTCCCCGTCAGCTGTTCATTGCACAAATGTGTGTAATAAAAAAATAATATGAAAATCTTGAATTTGATTGACAAGTATGAAATGAAAATTGGGGATAGTAAAAATACACGATGATCTTTGATTGAGTGTCCTGTCGTCAGTGAGTGAGCGAGGATAGAGATAGATCCTACCGGGGCCGCTAGGCTTTCATGCTATCAAAAACTGCGACTGTCAGTATTTGTTTGGTACAAACTTCCCTGGTGGCGTAATTACAGCGTTACAGGAATGACGAGGATGCCAATCAATACTGGATTACGAAACCCGGAATTAGCGAAGCTTTACAGTCTGATTGATTNGATTGATTGATTACTCACACTCTCTCCCACAGGTGGGATCATGACACATTTCCATTCAATCAAAACCCTCGCATTGTTTTCAACAAAATGAATGTTTACTTGAAAATTAATTCCTCGAAAACATAAATTCACCTACGTTTCTTATTTTGATATACACATACATCACTGAGATAGCTTAAGAAATGGGAGATTTACAAAAAAAATGAATACCTGAGAAACATTGTACAGCTGTTTCAATATTTTGCAGTGGACGGTCGAACCCGAGATCTCAAAACAGTTAGTATATGAAGGCATTATCCATTTGGCAGTGGTTCGGATGGCTAGACTCATTCAAGCGAGTTACCGGACCGTTCAGTTTCCCAGTGTTTCAAATAATAATGCTGAATTAGTTACCAGTTAATTCTGCATAGTTATACGGCTTGGTTTGTATCTGATCAAATCTTGGCTCCAGAGAATATAATGCGAATTTACAAGTAACGCATTGCACCCGCTCTGAATGGGGTGTTCCAACAGGAACGAATAACCATTGTATCTCTGTGCAAACCGAGTTAAAATAGAAGTGCGCTTTGATTTTCTTTTCATCTTATGTACACAAATGTTCAGCCAATTTTGAGAAATGTTGTGAACAAAAAAGAGAGCCCGGAGGGGATAGCAAGAACAGAGGAAGTTTGAATCGGCTCGTGTCAATTTTGCAGGTACCGTGTTGAATGTGAAATTTGGTTCACCCAACGGATGCAATAGGGACGGGTGAAAATTAAAACTGGAATGAGTGCGCATGATGGACAGCTAGTCTTTGTTTTTGGACAACCAAACAGCTCAACTCGAAAGTTACCGACTCGAAGCCCCATTGTAGACAGAAGAGATACGTAGTGATGGAGCATCTACCAACCTGTTCTTTGTTGGTCAAGCAATGATTGTTCTGGATTGTAACTTAGATATCCATGTATCGCTGTCTGAAGACAGATTCGTTCTACCAGAGAAAACCTGACAGGTCCGGAATAACTCGAGGGGTTGGGAAGAGAAGATACACTATACATTAGGCCACCCACTTCATACATCGGGTATCCGAATGTATCTCGTAACATTTACGACTGCAGTACGGAATGCTACAGATTACACAATTGTATAAACCTTTAAAACCGCACACATTGCAAAATTTGCGAAATGGAAGCCGGCTAGATGGGACTGCAGCAGTGAAATAACAGGGTCCGGTTGTGCCACCTTTGGTCAATTGATACTCTTCATCGAGAAGAATCTCCAGTGTTTTTCTTGTTTTAGATCGCGTACTGGTCAGACGCCGTTTCTTCTTTTTCTTCAATATATCATCATCCTATAGGTGAAAATAAGCGTTATGTCTATACTTCCGTCTTCAGCTTACATCATCAAAATGTGGCTTCTTAGTGGATTTTACATCCGAATGTGGTTCCTCAATGTGATTATCTTGCTCTAAAAGCTCCAAGGCTTTGCGTTGTCTTCGTTCCTTGGCCGCAGCGTCCAGTACTCTTCGAGGAGCGTCACGAAGGCCTTCTCGCTTGTCCATTAGAAATTTGCTATTCAGTTACTCATCCGTTGAAGCCCTGTATCGAATGCAATCCAACGTTTGATGACGACATAAACACAGCTACGGATATAAAATAGATTGAAACAAAATTGTTTTATTTTTTCATCGCGACCAATGTTTTACATTGCTGGAAAACTAGCATATGCAAATAATTATACAAAGTTTATTTTCACGAAACACACCATTTAGTTTTGGTTGATTGTAGAATTTTATGAGGTGGCTTTGGAAGCTAGATTTCCACTATCCATTTGGTCAAACAGTAATGAAGAAAAAGACGGAAGTAGAAAGTCGAGAGTCGTACTAAAGTGACAGTGATGAAGGCGGTTTACTATTCTTAGCCACATCACTTAACGTTTCTAATCACCAATTAGACTGGTCACGAGTTGTTCACCCAAGAAGAGGTTTGATGCAATATATGTGACCAAGTCTAGGGCACTTATATAATACAAACCTCTCACCCATAAGTTGGTTCTTTCTTCCCATTGCGAAACCCACGGGATGCTTCTCGTTTCCACACGTCAGACTTCGACTACTGAGGTAGGCAAAGCAGAAACCAAGAGATTGATTGAACCCATGCGGACGTGAACTGTCTCCAAAGCATGTATATTTTCTTGAACCCTTCTGGACGTTCACAGAACTATTCCTTCGATTGCTAAACACGACAGCGCGAATAGCCCCTAAACACCAACTCATCAAGAGCCTGAAGAATGACCACTAGAAGTAGTAGGTTGCGGCTATGAATAACAGTCGCAACCTTTTTCGTTTGATCGGTAACATGGATACGCGGAAATTAGACCTGAGACAATTGAGGATTAAGAAGGTACACTGGTTTACAAAAAAATGGCCTTTGTTTTCATTAGATCTGACAACTTTTACTTCCATTCAAAATCATCGTACAGCGAGATACAGTGAAGCGAACTTCACTGATCGCTGCCAAGCTCAGAATTTACACAAAGTAAGTGAGAAAGTACAAGATACATGTTGCTTTCGGTCCACAAACAACAAATCACGGACCTGTTTTCTTTTCATACAGATTACTGCGCCGTGATTGGTTTTTCACACAGCCAGACATGTGTCAATTGCATGCATGCAGACGTGATTAGCCGCTGAACTCAAGCATATTACTAAGCAGAGGAATACCACAAGATATGAAAGTATTCTAATCAAAATGATCGTGCCTTGAGACCATACAAAATTCGACAGAAGGGAAGGATTTATCACATACAAAAGGACAGGGGCGAGCCCAGATTCGGTTCACTCTTGAAATTCAAAAACATGAGCACACCAAAAGTGAATACAAAACGGATTTATGTGTCGTTTCTCGAATGTCTAACCCCTAAACCTTACCCGTCCCAATACAAAACTGATGATGCAAATAGAGAACATTTAGGGACTGCGCTAAGACGATCAAGAAAAATCCGATCTTTTCAAAATATACAGCACAAAAAATGTCAAAAAGTGTACCATTTTCCCGTGTTTAGCTATCTCACCTTCTTTCCACTTCGTTCAGCACCCCAATCCACTTGTCCCCTGTTGTGGCGTTGGCACCATGCTTGTATACAAGCCGGTGTTAAATATATGTTTGCACATGCAGATAGATAGGGTTTGGGCCTAACTGGGGACGGGAGCAGAAAAGTGCACCTCGATGATCAACACACAACGTACAACTTAACTGTGTATACATACCCTTTTAAGCATTCTGGCATGGTAAGAATTGAAAACAAGAACGCCACTACTGTCAGTCCGCTGCCAGATCCTTCAATGTCTCAAACCGACCAGTTGCGGAGTCTTTCAGACCCCAACCTGGAAGATGGAAAACACCTACTCTACCCAATCGCTCTGTGCATTTCTTTATGCCTCATTTCTACGTCATCTGTTAACCCCCATGTGTTTTCCCCCAACCTGGAACTGCAATTGCGAATAAAGCGCGGTGCGGCAGACGGCAGCTAGGCATACGCAATAAGTGTCTTACTCATCTGAATTCTATGTGATAACGAATTTTCCACCGAATCATTGCCAAACACGCGATGGCTTACCTCAGAGTTGCTTACAAGCTCGTTCCAACATAGGCAGTCCAGGACTTCTAGAAGATGAATATCTTCTACGCGCAAAGTAAGGGTATCACAACCGTAAAGCAGAAATGACCACACACTGGCGCAGTATACGTCGGCACTAAAGGTGTTTCAGTCCTGCGTAAGCCTTGGAAATGCGTGTGATAACTACCTTCACTACGGTACCACCATTTGTTATTCAACTACCTAAGAGGAACAATTCGTTATGACTAATTCTTGACCATCAAGTATCCGAATCATCATTTCGCACTTTAAAGGTGCAAAGCGCATGCCGAAAAAAGCGCTTTGCGCATCCTCCATACATTCAAACAGGCAAACGATGTCGTCAACGTACTCTAAGTCGCACAGCTTTTCTGGCCGAAGCCGAGTCCGAACTTACAGCACTTTTTAGCCCGAGTTCACCACGGAGACTGGTGTTCGTCAGGGTTGCCCTCTCTTCTTTTTTGTTTAACTTTGGTAGTTTAAATTCTTGCAACAGCCTTATCCTCACGCATACAAGGTTAGTGGTAAAATTTAAGGTGGACAGGGATTGGATCTATTTTGAGGGAGGGGGAAGAAGGTGAGCCACTATGGTCAACACAGAGAGTTTACAGTCGAACTCTGCATACATACCGTTTCAAGTATTCTGACCTGATAAGAAACGACAGCAAGAACGCCACTGCTGCCGGTTCGCAGGCATATCCTTCAATGCCTCCAACCAACCAATTATGGAGTCTTTCGGACCCCAACCTGGAAGGCGAGAGACATATACTCTACTTAATTGCTCTCTGTATTTCTTCATGCCTCGTCTCCATGTCATCTGTTGACCTCCACGTGGTTTCCTCCAGCCCGGATTAGGTACAGCGAATAAAGCGCGGTGCGGCAGACGATGGCTGGGCATACGCAATACGCGACCTAACCAGCGAAGCCTAGTAATCTGAATTCGGTATGCTAGCAGGTTTATACCTGACAGACTCCCAAACACACGACGGCTTACCTCCACGTTGCTAACCCGTTCGCTTCATCCAACATGGGCTAAACTACGTAAACACCGATAATCGAAAACTCCCAGTCGACGGATATCTTGCAGATTCTCGCAGATTCAGAGTCTCACAACCACAAAGCAGGACTGAACGAACGGTGGCACAATATACACGACCTTTCAATTTCAGTAAAACGTCGCGTCTACGCCAAAGGTGTTTCAGTCCTGTGTATGCTGCTTGAGCCTTGGAAATGCGGGCGATTATCTCCTTTGCTGCACTACCGCCATTGGTCACGCAACTACCTAAGTAGGAAAAATAATCCACCACAACTAAATCCTGGCGATTTAGTGTCAGAGTGAGAGTAGATGAAACCCAGTCCTGCAGTACCACTTTGCACTTTGAAGGTGCAAAGCACATACCGAATGTGTCAACTGCACTTTTTAATCTATCAAGTGCACTTTGCGCATCCTCCATACATTCGAACAGACAGACGATGTCATCGGCGTATTCTAAATCACACAGCTTCTCCCCAGCTGTCCATTCAATACCTACGTTTTGGAGCTCCCTTGGTGCGCTCTCCAGTATTTCGTCTACGACGAAATTGAACAGGAACGGCGAAAAAGGGCACCATTGACGAATGCCACTGCTGGTGACGAACAGCCTACTCAGTTCGTTGTAGACCCTTACGCGACTACAGGTATGTGAGTACAGTGACATCAGTAGATTAACGTACTTCTGGGGCATTCCTTTTCGAAGAAGGGAGCCCATCAGAGCTTCGCGGTCAGCTGAGTCGAAGGCTCCTTTCAGGCCAAGGAACATTGCGATCGTTGGCCGACGATGGGTATGACGCAGCTCAAGGATCTGACGCGACGTAAAAATCTGATCAATACATCCACGGCCAGGCCGGAATCCGGCTAGTTGTTCACGGATGTTGATCTCTCTTAAAAGCGTCAGACGTCGAAATATAACCGTCACTTTGGTGACGATCGGGATCAAACTTATCCCGCGGTGGTTTTCGCAATCGTTGCGGGATCCTTTCTTGAAAATGGAAACGATCAGTGATTCGCCCCAAGATGATGAAATGCGCTCTTGCATCCAAATGTTGCGCAGCAGGGTAGTAATAGAGGTTACAAGGCTATCACCTTCCATCTTGAAAAGAGTGGGAGGGAGCTCCTCAGGTCCTGCTGCCTTTCCTCGCTTCAGAGCTTGAATGCAAGACCGAACTTCTGCTTCCGTTGGAGGATCGCATGGCACTGCCCACGGAGCTTCAGTCGGAGATTAAGCAGCCTCGTTAGCACTAAGCCAGCTGAACTGTTCGCTGAAGTATTCTGCTCAGCGATCGAGTCTTTGATCCCTATTGTGAATGGCTCGTCCCCTCTTATCGCAGACTGTTTCACTAACAGGGGTTCGCCGACCTCCCGTATAGCGTGTCAATCGATGAGTTTATTGTAGAAAGCGTCCTTTTGGGTATTAGAACTATAATTGGTCGGTGCATATGCTGATACGACGAACAAAACCTTTTAGTGTTACTTCCCTTCCGGACGCTGATTGAACCCTGGAGACGCACTGCACATAAACGACTGTTGACGGGGATCCAATCGCTAAGAGAAGACTCCACTCTATTATTCAGTACAATATCTACCCCACGCTGACCTATTGAACGAGCTTCATCGTCGTCTGATGTGCGAAGAACGTATCTCGTCGGAATATCTGGCACGCCCAAGTGGCTTAGAGTAGTAGGATCCTGGATCCGAGTTTCCGACACGCAGCAAATATCGATTCCTAAGTATTCCATTGTACGAGCCAGACGAGCTTGTTGACCTATTTGCATCAAAGTCCTCGCGTTGAAGGCCCCCAGATTAAGTGATTGACGAGGCTTTAGAATCTGCAATCCATGCAGTGGTAAATCACTTCCAGTGCTATTAGGCAATGACCTTCGGCGAGC